AAAAAAGACATTCAAGATAACAACCACAAAATCGTTACTAATAACTCCTGGTTTTCGAACGCAAATAACTAAATTTTTCTTCGGAAAGCTATTTCGAAGACGAATTCGGCAGTTCACGACGATACAAGAAGGTCGTAATCAAACGAGTAATAACCTTCATAGCATAGAAGGAGCAGCAGCAAATACATGATGTTCGCTTTGTTGATGAATGATAGGAGATGTGAAAGATTAAACGCGGATGCTGTCGTCGTACTATTTTGCGTCAACATCGATGAATTGGACGATGGTGTTATGGGCATAAATGATAATACTTTACTAATTTTAGTCATATACTTCTCAGGAATATTCGCACTCAGATATTCCCATATCTTTTGTCTGCATTCTGCATCGCACCTTAAATATCACACATCGATATGAGCGGATTTTCGAAGATCTACGAACAAATCAATACACATTGCGAACAAACACAAATTTTTTTCGGTGAGTACCACAAGATGAACAAAAAGGAAAGCTGTACTGAAACGAAAAACATATTTGACGTGAGCTTACCAATGCTCTATCAAACAGTCATAATGCAGTGAGAGCAATAATAAGCATTGAACACTAAAAACAATACCAACTACAATGAAAAGAAAATTCTTAAACCTACTTGAAGAATAAGTATAGACCGAAGAGGACGCATGATGCAGTTATGGGGAATTTTTTGGCCTCTTTGACCGTGATTGATGCTTCAATAAGTTTCTTCTTACGAATTTGCCGTTGAACGAACCACAACGATCGAATACTACCAACTATGATACATAATAACGCCATCCCATACAATGAACCATATGCTGTTGCCTTAAATCAGAAACATTGCCTTTAGACTTATACTTCAGTTGAGGCTTCTCGCTCACACAGTTGCCAAGATTCAAAACTTTGATATTAAGAAATCGGTTCTAATTTGTTTTTTATCGCCCCTCGAGAGTTTTTTTTTTTCACTTCAAAAATGTGCCACACAATAGCATAAACCCTCAAATTATTTTGCTATCATGATTCAGCGAAGTTTGCGGGGGATTCAAAAGTTATACAGCAAACAAAAAACGAATGAATTTTACTTGTTCATGAATCTCGAAAGTGATATTGGTGGCATTGTTTGTACCAGTCGGCCCATTGTCTACGACAGGTGGAGGGGCAAGGGTGCTCGATTCGGACATAACAACAGTGTCGTAGACTGGTGACGACGTTTACCTGGAAACTTTCACGTTGAACACATTTGGTGACCAATAAATGAAATTATTTCGACATTTTGCGAATCACACGGTAGGCATTTTAATCTCATGCAATGCACCACTTCTTTAATTGATTCAGGTTATGAGACTTCACCCGAAACTGAGGCAAACCCGTACATCTGGGCATGAATGATGTTTTAGAGGAGACACCTAAACATTACTGTGAGAATTTTCCACAAGAAATACTTCAAAAATTGAGGGATTGAGGGCAATGAACGATGCTCCCGTGGAGAACTTGGAAAATGGATTTTTGTTTGAGTACGCGGGGCCCACATACAACATTCGGTTGTGATTCTTTGCCATGAGGTACGACGAGGTTACCATAAGAACCCGTAGTTGTTCACTTTCTAATGCTTCCTCTTCTTTCATCAATCACCTCTAACTCTGACCAAATCAGATCGTATGAATGATGCTAAAACGTTACGCATTTTGTGCAGAAATGTTTCAGTTGTTTTGATGGAACAGCAGATAATTACTCGATAAAATTTCCGAAAAACACATAGAATGACTCAAAAACGTAAAAAATTAAGCAAAAAAAACGAATTGATCAACGATGCACATCGATCGACCTAATCCACTGCTAAAAAACACTGATGCGGATAGATAACTCAATGCAGTATTAGTTCCAATGGATATTGAATGAAATGAGTTCCACACGCGAAACATGAAACCGACCACGTCGTCGTCACTCTTCACCAAACGCATATTTTCGTGGTTTCATAATCGAGCTCATTCAACTATTGCAACTGTTTCACATTTCATTTTCAATGTTACTTCCAAAACGTTTGCANTTTCCACAAGAAATACTTCAAAAATTGAGGGATTGAGGGCAATGAACGATGCTCCCGTGGAGAACTTGGAAAATGGATTTTTGTTTGAG